AAGTTTCACAGATGTAGAACCCTTCAGATTTCACCGAGTCGCTCTACTCCAAATATTCTGATTCTTGCATAATAAGTCCCGGACAAAATTAAAGTTTGCATCTGAGCTTCTGCAGCTTTGGACGATTTTGAGCATTCTCACACAGGTTATGCCATCGCACCAGAGGAGCCAAAAAATAGCGCCGTATTACACTCTCACATGGGACCATACTACATATATGACTAGAGAAGCACTGAAGTGTTTTCATATCAGATTGGTGTGCACATTGTGGTGTTACTGCTCAGCGTCGCCAAATATCCCCTTCAAGACATCCTCACACACCGAATTGGTCATCAAGGAGCTGTCACAGCTACAGCTTATTACACCATCGTGAGTTCTAGATAGTTCCAGCTTCAGTAAACATTAGTTTCTTGTTTTCAGATTTCTAGCATGATCGCTAACTGGAACACAGTATTCACAGCGGCAGTGATTCGTTGGTCAATCAATGGTTTTCTCAAGAAGCAATCGCTATCGTCTTCAGTGGCCAGTTTGAAGAGTAGTACTGCGGCAATGATTCGTTGTTCAATCAGCGGTTTCAAAAAGCAACCAAGAGCGTCGTCGGTGGCCAGTCTGAGGAGTAATGCTACCTGCAGGACGGAAGGAAAAAGAAGTTTCCTCCGTGTAGCTAGTGGAACGAAACAGAAGATGTACAATCAGGATTAGGGTAGACGGGCAAGAGAACCGTAAAGTGCCGCTTCGTCGCGTGCGGCGATGGGCGCGACGTTCCCCTAAATTGCACTACACTTTCGATTGGAGCGTTGGTTTTCTTGTAGACAAAATAGACACTTATGTCTATTTTGGGTCATACATTGTCTATTCTCAACAATACCACCTAAAATCGTCGTCATTAGCGGGCGCGACGTCGCACGCGACGCCCACTGGTGCGGCAAATTACGATTCTCTTGCCAGATACCCCAGGATCAGTTATACCATCATTTCAAATGTCACATGTTACCATGCGGTTGTGTTCATTGAGCAACATTCCTTATTTACCCTGTGACATGAATCTGTTCATTTGGCATTTTTGAAGAATTTGTAGATTTTGGTCACTGGAAAGGGCGAATCGGCCACAGACGTGTGGCCTTTTCCATCATGAACGTTTTTGGGCTATAAGCTCACGCGGTGAATTACGCGTGAGCATTCCGTAGCCTGCAGCGTCGTAGGACCCTACGTGCTACTCGCAGAGAATGGTGGCGCGTCGATTTTCGCGGGTTTACGAATTATTCTGCTTTCCCTGGACACTTTTCTTGCAGACAAGCAGTATACTTCACGAGACGTGATGCGTATTGGTGCTGTTCGAATTCACCAGTGGTGGAACTGCGTTGAGTACAAAAGTTCGTCGTATACTGTAGTTCGCTACGGACGGTTGGGCGTGTCAGGCAGTAATGAGTGTGTCATGCCATCAAAGCCGTTCTCTGCCTTCTTGTTGAAGCGCGCATGTGACAAAAAGTGGTAGAAAACGAGTAACACGAACAATATGATACAGTCATATCATTTGCTCGCTTTAACAACTGGTGAACGGGTTTGGCACCGCGCCAAACTCATCCCGCCTGACACGCCCAACCGTCCGCAGCGAACTACACTATACATCGCTTACCTTAATCTGATCTTAATCTAATCTTTCAAACCGCAAAACTGATGACTGGAAACTAACTTAAAGTAAAAGAAAGATCAGATACTTTTCCGTGTAAAACGTTCCGGACCTGCGTGACACAACAAAGTGTGTCATACATTTTTCTCTCTGTGCTGTTTCATATGGTCTCTTTCATGCTTCAAAATACCAGAAGACGCTTTCAGCACATATCTCACAGGAAGTGAAAGAAATAGGTGAAATTACCGCTCACTGATTTGAAAAGTGAAGAAAGGTGAGATACTCGCACAATGGCTGTCAGGAATGTGTTGAAATTGGGATGCGTGGAACAAATTTAGGTTCTGGTTTTTCTAGTTCTTCAGAAAACCCTTGCCTACCATCGGGTTGAAAATTTGGCTGCAGAAGCTCCAGCTCCATGAGCACACTTACTATCCTTTTCACCAGCGCATTTCTTAAAAGCAAGCGACTTTTCATCCAAGCCGGCGCAAAACCCGGTTCTATTTTCGACGAACTACTGCATTCCTTTGCATTAGGCTAGCAAGCGAAATCAACCTATACTCGAGAGTTTCTTCACTCTTCTAGCAAACCAGCTGAGGAATCAGCTATCTTTACAGGATGCACTGCCTAACTTGTCCTATCCACTGAGCTATCAGGAATCACAAAGTTACACGATCCCCTCTGAGCTATATTCATCCAGAATCATGACCATAAGTACAGTATTCTCCCTCACCATTAAAAACGTTTATTCCTGTATCGATTGAAATGGACGAGAGTCTCCTCGAAGAGCTTTGGTACCAAACCGCTGGATCGCTTTAATTTTTGCCACTACACCACGACAGCAGTGCTCAACAAATTCGTTCCTTGTACGTCGTGACCACGCATATATTACACTGAAATGAAAAGTACTACGGTAGCGTTCATACTTCGTGACAGTTGCCGCCGTAGCGGGTCCTGTCGCCAGGTATGAGGGCTGCCTAAGAACATTATATCAAAGCACATTAATCTTTAGGCGCACCTCGGCAGTCTTTGCAAACGCTGTGATCTTTCATTGGCCCTCTTTAGAGACTCATTGTGATGACGCGATAATGCGAGAGCGGTGGGAGAGGGGGGGTCCTATTAGCGTTCTGTGTATAGTGGGGATGAGGGTGGCAAAAGAAAGACACTTCGCTCGCTGAGCATGCCATCAAAGTATACATTGCACAAAGCAATAAGGCACATGAAAGACCATTGGGAAATGCAAAGGGTTGACCTCTATGGTCATGAGTAGGCGAAGCTCATCGCCAGAAACTTAGAAGGGCCTAGTAGGTGTTTCAGCCGAAACAGCTGCGCAGTTTCATGGCTCATTCCCCTGTGAGCCGGCTCCTGCGAACCGTTGCCAGGATAGTGGGAGACACCATCTCACTAGTTGTATAGAAAATAACGCTGGGTTCACGACTCGACTCTCCTGCCTCGGTCCTATTTACAAGTAAAGTTCAACATAGGTTCTCAGGCAGGTGGGTTTGATGGATTCTGGAGCCACATGGGTCGGTGGGTGCTGCACTAAGTCAATGATTCTAGTGCAAGATCAGTCACTCGGAGCACGACGCCGATGCCTGCTTGGTCGATTTACAACGTGAGAAGAAAAAAAAACTCATTACTAATTGAGTTTCAAAAATCACCTCACGATCTTCTTAGCATTAGCGAAATTAGCTTGTTGGGCTTCACTCAAAGCTATGTATAAATGGCACCGTGCCAACAATGTTTGATCATCCAGTTCGGCTGCTATTCGTAATTGCTTTTCAGAGATCACGTTAGCTCGTTTTGCCTTCAATTAAAACACTTGAGCAAATACACATAACAGGACTAAAATACTGTAGGCAATAGTAACTTACGCTGTATTCTGATTCTGTTCTTTTTTTTAGGTGTCTATAGCAGTCTGAAGCGCGTTTAGTAATGCTCTCGAATGTGGAAGAATCAGCGGTGGGCAAGTCAGTCATGACTGACTAACTCTAAAGGAATTGTTTCATTATCGCTGTGTTTTTTCTCGATGCCGCCTTTTACCACGATTCGCAGAGGACATAAAACGTAGCAAGCAGGGTTCCGCACACTTTGCGATGACCGCTTTCCTATGCGCGTAACGATTGGAAAAGCCTGCACGGACGAGAGAGAGAAGCAATGCTATTGACGCGATGCAGGCGCAGAGGGGATCGATTGGGCACAGCTTTGTGTTTGTTGAGAGAGTATGGGGGCAATGGAGGGTGTGCTAAGCACGCCATCGGAATCGCGATGGGATGGGATCTGGGAGAGAAGAGATAACAGGGTTGCACGGTTGGGTAGACAGACAGGGCGCCGTGTCTCTCTATACTACTCTCAGGCGGCCCGCGGTAATTTCGTCCGCGCTTAGTGTGTGGCTATAATAATTAGGCAAGGTGGTCGCGCGCTAGATCGCGGCGTTACAGCGGCGTCATCGCGAAGTCTGAAGGTTAGCTGACGAGCACTGAAGCTTAACGTAAGAAAAAGATGACTCACAAAAGAGAGATCGTAGTCAGCCATCGCTGAGCAAGCACCTCCAAGGGTTGACATCCTCCACATCAAATGTTCTAGTTCAAAATATTTCATAAATAGGTACAGCATACGTTTTTCCCTAAACTATAACTAGATAACTGCAATGAAAAACCTGCCAAAATCAACTATCAACGGAATTTTTGTGGTTTTCCAACCAAACCGTCTATCTACGTTGATACCAGAACCTCACCATTTATAGTCAATATATTCACTAGGTGCTTGGGGCAGGCGAATCCTTATGATAAAGTCCTGAAAAAAAAACTTCAACCTCTCGAGATTCTTCTGACAGTAATTTTAAAAAAGTGAAAATCTACGATCTATGGCTGCAAAAATACCTACCAAACTAGTTTTGACAGTATCCTCATAATGATAACACGAAGAAAGTGGTAATTATGCATGAATCACAACAGAAAATAAGTCACGCAAAAGACTACTTTTCTCTAACCTGCCTCAACCTATAATAACATGGGACTAACGCACGAACACAAGCAATTTGGTCGCTAGTTTCCAAAGAGATTTTCTCAAAACGCTTTCAAGCGGGAAAGGGAATCCTTCAGGAAATCCTTCCTCAAAGGCAAACCTCCGATTGTATGATTTGTGATAGTAGCAACGCTACGAATAGTCTCTTGATATTCCTTAGGGGAGACAGAAGTTGGCGGGAGGAGGAGGGGGGGACTGTCGGCAAACACCCTAAGTGAAGATCTGTAGCCTCTCTTTAGACAAGATTTCCGTAACGGGACATCATTGGTTTGGGGGATTTCGAGTCTGTACGCGTTTTTTTTTGCGTTCGTTTTTTTGGGAGTTGGTACGACCCCCCCCCTTTACAACGTCCATGAAGCGAGAAAAATCAACTATCAAAATAAATTTTTCCCAGCCCAAATACGACCCCCTCTCCTGGCGGCCAAATACGACCCCCCCCCCTATTGGATTCGCCCAATAGAACGACTGTAGCGCTGCTTCGTCACTTACTATGAAGCCACGAAAGTGGGATAATCGTAGAGATAGAGGGTCAGACTACTTGTTTAAGGAAGGACGCTCACGAGCTGCTCGAGCGCGGGGCTGTCTACAGAAGCAAAGCCCACGATCACTCGCCATCACATATAGTGGACCTAGAGCTCATATATCGACCGCATGGTTGAGTATCGTGAGTAAAGAAAAAAAACATGCCAACTGCCCTAAATAGAACCTCACACCGATCCCAGTTTGTACGTTCCCAATCACCTCCATCTTCAGCACTACGCCCTTATACGCACAGCTGATTCCCCTATAAAAACTTTTCCCGGACCGTACAACAAAAAAATGGCCCAGCTTCGTTTCTCCTGAGGGCGGGCCCTGGGGGCGCGTAGCATGGCGGTGCGGGGTCAGTGGAAAAAAGGGAGCGTCCAGTTGAACCTGTATATCCTCTACAGCCCCCCACTCCCCACATTTTTTGTCGCAAAACCGCTACAAGGTTTTTCGTTGCAGGGCCAGACTACTCTCACAACCCGTATGTTCAACTTCTATACTTGATCGCGGACTGTACCTTTAAAGGAGCCGCCCACCAGACAAGAAGGGGGTTGGTGTTGGTGTATTGTATTTTTTTTTTTTTTTTTTTTTTTTTTTTTTTTTTTTTTTTTTTTTTTTTTTTTTTTTTTTTTTTTTTTTTTTTTCGCTGCGGACGGTTGGGCGTGCCGTTGGCTCTTGCTCGCGGCTGCCAAAACATCGTTGCTTGCACAGGTTGTTAAGCGCGCAAGCTGACAATACGGTATCATATGCTCTTCCATATTACTCGTTTTCTACTTTTTTTGTCGCATGCGCTCTTCAACAAGAAGGCAGAGAACGGCTCTGATAGGGTGACACACTCATACTGGCTGACACGCCCAACCGTCCGCAGAGAACTAGAGTGTAAGCTCTGAACGGCTACTCCAGACAATTCCCTCAATAACGACATTTACAGAGTGCCTCCGAACAGTACTATACATATGACTCGGGTGCCCTTGACGACCAAAGGCTCAATCTGTGAACTATATCTCACCTCATTAACTTGTATTCCATAATGTTTCCTGATATGATCATCGAAATTCTTCCTATCATAACGTGCTAATTGAAAAATTGATCGAGCTGTATTCACAGGGCAGCACCACTTTATGAGAGCTGTTCTAGAATTCGAGTACGACGAACAAGTAGGAATGTCTATGTACATTTTGATTTAGCCTTTGGCTTTTGTTTCCCTGACGATTTTTTGGTCCTTCTGCAAAGAATACCGTGAAAAATCTAAAAATAGCAAACATTTTTACCAAATAAGCAGGTATGCATCACTCGAAATAACTCGTCCTCCTTGATTGCAGGACAGGTCTGATAACCTTTAACGAATCGAAGAACGACACACCAAATCAGGAGAAATTTATTGAAATTATCAACAACTAACAATGTGGTTAATGGAATATTAACAACTGCTGCTTAACAATACATCTAACTATTAAAAATTCAACTAACGTGAAAGAATACCAAAAAATACAACTACTTCATCCAGTGATTCAACAAGGTTATGGAGATTGGATAAATTATAAGCACTGTGTTAAAGATCAATTGGAGGCGTATTCTGTACAGGTTCGAAGCACTTCGAGCTTTAATCCTACATTGAAAAAAAAATAATCGATTGTTTCTTCTCTGAGAAGGCCGGGCTTTAAGCAGCGGTTGGACATACACGAAGCGCGCCGTTATGTTATAAAGAAAAATATGCGCCTAATTCGCTTGCTGCGACGACGAGAATCGGAAGCATGAGGGAGGGAAACAAACGGAAATACAAAGAACAGGCCGTCAGTCTTTCTTTCACTAGATGGGCGGTGAAAGCTTGCCGACACCTTGAGAACTCCAAATTATAAGAATATAGCACCCACACACACCACCACCCCTTTGCACAAACAACTATTGAGCAAATACCTGAGGAAAATGCTAAACACTACGACTACTCACAACGAACTAACTATTAATTATTATTAATTACCGCTTGATCAACTTCAGTTTTCTTATCATCCATTTGATGAAAGTGTGCTTGGCAGAGGAGCAATAAATTCGAAGTGGAGTATTTTTGCATCGAAGGCGCGGCTGCGTTAGATTAATCTTCTAGAAAAACATACATTTGCAGGTCTCGGGCGCTAGGACAAAACCAAATCTTCTGGTATAATCAGCAATTATGCTAGAAAGCAGCTTAATTAAAGCTTGCAGCACCTTTGTTCGCACTCCCTCGATAAAAATAACAGCACCGCTCAAGTCGCGATTTACATGAAGTGGGTTCATACATTGTGACCTTTGAGAATGGAAGATACGGCGAATCAACTTATTGAGAGAACGCGCACCAAAGTAAGCAGTGCACCTCGTTGTTTTTTTTTTAAAACTTCACTCGCCCATTTCCCTATTCTTCCATCGCAAACGAGGTTCGCACTTAGGACAAAAGGAATTCAAAAAATAGTTACACACCTCTTTCAAATGAAGATACATCGGAATCTTGCGAGACTGCGAATCTGTCACGTTGAGTGCTCCCAGAACATGATGCGACAATCTGAAACAGGCTTAGAGATCATCGTTTAGTTACTTATTCATCAACTGGTCTGGCTCAATCAGATCAACGCGCGTTATCGTGCACACCCTCAAGAGTTCGCAGTTAATTGGAGTACATTTTCGAGGGTCAGGTCCAAGATAAACGTCTCCTTTCTTTTTCGTCTGGGTTGGCTAGCGAGAGATAACTCTGTAACTTAAGACAAGTAGCGCCGCGATCAACCAAGGTGCAGAAATCTTTTAGAGTACAAGATGGCGCAGCTTGTTGTCACACAGGATATCCCATTTTCGCGGCTCAAAAGCGCTTGATAAAAGCAACAGCTCAGCAACCGTAACGACTCCGCCTATGAAGGCGGAGTGAACAAGTTCCACCTCCATCACTTTTAGAATCGTTAGCGATGATAATTGCTAATCTTATCGAATATGCCTAGGAGAATGAGTCGCAGCAAGTGGCGACTAGATTCAGAAAACTCGCGCAAAGTTTGATTAACTCGTTTATGTTCAGTCTCAAATATTTGGTTTTTTAGAGCATTTTCAACGGGTTCTTCTGCTTTTTTTTCTTCTTTAGCATTATACTTACAACATGACCTAATGGTCCTAAGCTCCTGACAGCTCAACTATCTAGATTTAAGATGCGTGCTGGATATTTTCAGACATGTGATGAGAATCAGTAAACAACTTTATATCATAACAAGTTACACTGACTGCCCCTTATATCTTTCCTTGGAACCACCTAAGCACTGCTGCCGTGATCCAGGCTGAGAATTTCGTAACCTTCCCTTTCTAACTTTCCTTCTCAGTTGTTATCATTTTCTGTCACCTGCTACCGGTGTGTTCGTCCCAACCCCGAATATCTTGTTGGAAATACTCCCCCCCCTCCGCTTTTTCTGAGATGTATGCATGCGGATTGTACATGAGAGAATGCGTCCGACGTACCGTGGAGGTCGCGGTGAAGAGTTTCCGTACTTTGCATCGCCAATTAAAGGACATCCAGCCAGTGCGAGATGAGCACGGATCTGATGTGGGATTTCTGAAGCATATAAGTTTTAACTTTGCTTAAATCAATCTATTTATGGAACGCGAAATAGTCAACAAAGAAGCAAAGAACATGGCGTAAATTACCTCTGTGAGTTCGGACTTCCACACTCGAAAACATACTGATTTCCACGGATTGTGCGACATTCTGATTCCACGTAGAAAATGTCGCCTTTCGCCTTATTCGACACCAAAGGCACAAGCTAAAAAAAGACTTAAGATTTACTCGAAGAACGAGAGTTCACTGTCAAATTGAATGTCTGACGCCATTAACTCGATTCGGGCAAACCCTTACACGTACAAAATCGAGCACTTCATAAGTTCTGGACACACACACACACACACACACACACACACACACACACACACACACACACACACACACACACACACACACACACACACACACACACACACACACACTTGCAGATTAGGAAACAATACAATCACAACTTTCATTCATATACGATATCTCATTAAAAACCTTCCTGGGAAGCGATGTACGTACTGATCATGTTTGAAGACACTACCGTAGTTTGCAGAGTATGGCGCGACTATGTCCTCCACTTTCAGCCCCGAGACCAGACCTCGTGGTTACGTCTTTCGAGCTGCGGCCCGAACAAGAAAAGAATTCGCGACCATCGAGCGAGAGGGTTATGGGAACACATTCGGTTATCACAAGAATGCTGAGTTATGGGCAAAAGTCGTGCCCCAGGCGGGAGTCGAACCCGCACCTCACGCTTTCCGGGCGAGTGCGCTATCCGTTACGCCACCACCCTTTTACCCTCTCAGCTTAACGGCTTTTATGCCGTAGCCTTACAGCACTCACACGTTTAACATGGTGAGCCGGTCAGCCGTAATCGTTAGATATCGGCACGTGTGAGTGCTGTAAGGCTACGGCATAAAAGCCGTTAAGCTGAGAGGGTAAAAGCGGCCCTGGTGGCGTAACGGATAGCGCACTCGCCCGGAAAGCGTGAGGTGCGGGTTCGACTCCCGCCTGGGGCACGACTTTTGCCCATAACTCAGCATTCTTGTGATAACTTTCGGAACGCGAACTGCGGCGTAAAACATTCGGTAGCGACGACCCTTTCTAACTATAGTAGACCGGTTTCGAAACGAAACAGCTCAAAAGGGACAGCCACGAAGTCCCGACTGTTATAATGTAAAGTCTTCCAAAATACATTGCCAACTTGAGTTCTAGAAAATGGCCAGGTAAACAAAGTTTTGAATACTGCTTTAACAAAAAAAATCAGGAGAAAAAGGACTAGTAAACCATCGCAATCATGTTACCTTCATATCCCTGTCCTTCACTGTTTTCAGTAGAGGAATATTAATTTTGAGGGGAGAATCATTCAATTCACCGCGGACTATACACCTATAAATACAACACGAAATGTAGTATCCGTGAAAATTTGAGACTAGTAGTACCTGCTTATTTGTTCTACCATGCCTTTCTCAAAATCTTCTTTCAAAGCCGATTGTGCCGTAGCATTACTGAAATAATGAAAACAGATATGCTCTCTGAAAGAGAGAGCTGATGAATGAGAGGTAAACCCCGCGATTTTTAGTCGTTAGTCGTAGAGTTTCAGGCTGAAGGTGTGGGCGCTGGGTTGACAGTGAAGGAAACAGCGAAACAAATGGGGGAAAACGCAAAACATGGACCTTTTCACTGGACTAGTTCTTCGGCGATCGAACTATTCTGACAAGGTGGAATCCTACGAATCGGTAGGGCACGGAGCCTGTTTCTCAACTGAGGGATAAGGATGAAGTCTTCGCTGTTGACCAATCCCTTTTTGGGATGCGACACATACCACTCCCTCTTCAGAATCAAACTGGTTTGTGAATTATTGAATGCGATGTAGCCAATACAATGAATTGTGGGGGCCAGCCGATGTACAAGTCAATAGTTTTTATCCTTTCTGACGATTCTCCTCCAATCTGCAGTCGCCGGACGGAAGAAAGCTTGGTTGGTCTGGGTGGGAGCCGATCCGGTAACTGACCTCCGCACCGCGCGCAACTTGCCACCACAACACTTCCGCCTCGTTTTTGAACGACTAATATTCACTGATACGAATAAATAACCAAATGTGCTAACTATAAGGTCAATACCACTAACCATAACATACCATTTTTTGCAGACGGTAAGAAATCAAACGAAAGTGAAACAAACTCACGTCGCAAACAAAACGATCCCGGATTGGAACTTATCCAACGATCTAACTAGATACAATCGCTCACACTTTGGGACGACACTGGCCTAGGATACAAGAACCTTGGAGATTCCAATAGCAAGAGATACTGAAACTTTAACTCACTTTAATCTTTTGCAATAACCTATCTAATTGAGGAGAATTCTGAGACGCTCCAGAATAAGCCATACCATATGGTTTGTCTAACGCAACAATATCGTCTGAATACAAAGCCAATGTGAAATGTGGAGTGAATACTTTCATTGGCACAAATGCTAACTTACCGTCTTTATAAAGAACCCTGTTTATCATGAGCTCCACCAATTCTTCCTGTGTCATTCGCCACAATGGAATAATATCGGCTCGTATTTTGTCTAGTCCGGATTCCCTGGCTGAATCGTCAGAACTAACATCGAACTGAAAATGGCCTTATTGGTGGAAAGTCGGTCTGCCAAGCAATTTCAAATAAAACATCTTTCTTTCTGAAGAATTTGCTACGATGTTAGAAAACACTATTCTCCATAAACAACATTACTGCAATACAGGAAGAAAGCTGCTTTCAGGGTTAGATGCTATAAAACGCTCACCGAATCATTTTCAACTTGAACAGATTTCAGTTTTCTTGGTTTTGTGCTTTGCTTTTCTTTCTGATGTTTTTCTTCTACAGAAACAACCACTGTCGTTCTGTGGATTTCTCGTAAGTGAACGACGTCTATTGTCCGTATTTCCGTCCAATTCAACCAGCTGAGGTACTGACTCTTCTGCTTCAGATGGCGCTCTTATCGTCTCTTTACTGGAAAATACGAAATAACGGTCAGTGGGATTCAAACCAGAAAAGAAGTTTGCCGCGCAGTGGTGCGGGCATATCTGCTTTATTTCAACATTTCCATGCTGATCAGCGACTTCACCTTTTTTTCTTTCATTTCATCTCTTTTCCAAGTGGATATGTTTCGCCAGAGGTCAAAAGCATGGCTTGACAACATCAGGACATGAGAGAAAGCCAAAAAGTCAAAACAAACGCTTCAGAAAAGAGCATGTATGTCAAGCGGTCATCAATACGTTCAGTTCTCCAATGGCAACAGGTATATTGAATCCCCACTTGAGAATCAGGTAGGCGTGGCCGCATGTTTCAACTTAACCTGAAGGTGTCCATGCTCCTGCTGGAATATTTCCATCTTTACACAACTGTTGTCGTGTCTCTGTCCAACATAGACAACGAAGATAACAGTGTTCGCACGAGTGGAGACAATTCCACTAGTGAACCAGTCCGTGGCACATGTTCAAATGCTACGCCTAACTCTGGCTGCAGCGAAAGGAGTACGTATATAATCCTTCTTCCGAGGGGTAAGGGGGCATCTGTTGTGTCACATCGCATATGATGCCTCCAAAACGTGTACCGCTTGTCACGGCAGACAATTCGGAAAAAGAGATGACCAATCAGTTGCGGTGTTTAGCAACCTATCAGGCGCGCCCCCCTCTGGCGAGCGCGCCTGACAAAACGGCGTTTTACTGCGCACAAAAGGTGAAGGAGATAGTGAAAAAGAAACATACGTGGCCGATCCTAGTGAAAAAAGAAACATACGTGGCCGATCCCACTCGTCCAAAATACTGCTCCTTCGATGAAGTCTTTGGACGACTCACTGCCATTTTCTGATGATTCATCAGGGTCCTGAGAACCTGCTATGCCAAGTGATTTACCTTCTAAAAAGAAACAAATAGACACTTACAAGTTCAAGTTGAGGAAAAAACGCCCGATCCAAGAATTCTGTACCCGACAATCGACTAGGATCTTTTTCAAATGCGCTCTCAATAGTCCTAAGACGAAAGGATCTCTTCGGTTTGTCTTTTACAGCGATATCCGGCTCCTGATGTATGCAACATTTTGCAACATACTGTCCTTAGCAATAATAAGAAATCACTAACTAATCTCAGTTGAAATTTTGGAAATTACTTTTTCTTCTTCTTTCGGCTCAGCTTTTGGAGACTGTGATGACATGTATTCGATACCGAAGAAATCATCTGCTGCCGATCGATCGGACATCGTTCCAGCGCTATGATAAGCTGAAAATTGAGCAATGTTGCTATTATAACCTAAAAATGACACTCCTCCTGAAGCCCTGTGGGTACCCAATGGGTCCACCCAAATGTCACATTCGAATCAGGGTGCGTTCATACTTTTCGTCGGCGTTTAGGGCGTTTCGGGCGAAAACAAACAAATGTGGGGAATCGACCTAACGTTTTGGGAGAAACGCCAGCGTTTTGAGCGTTCTGGCGAGACAGCAGCGTTTCGAGCAAAAAGGAAAGTATGGGTATCGAAAAGTCTTTGGTTCGCTTAAAACGCTAGATCGATACCTATACTTTCCTTTTCGTCCGGAACGCTTGAAAAGCTCTAAACGCCAAAAACGCCTGCGAGCACTACGGCCATGACCTCACCGATACGGTCATAAGAGAATACGGTATCCGTGAAGAGGGCACTGGGTACCCCCTACACGTAAGTTGTATCGGATTTTACGAGGAAAAAACTTGCTGCGCCGAAAAGTAACATCATATTCGTAAACAGAGCATCGAATAACACAACTAAGTGAGTCTTCAGCATAAAAAACACTTCAAGGTTGTTAAACTCGGATAGTGCTCCTATTGAGAATCATGACATTGAAAGGGCTCACAATTCTAACATGGGGTCTGATAGATATCCCACGACAATTAGTCCGGGAGATTACGGGCGTTTTTTTTATATGTTCAACTTCAGCAATAAATGTGTTCAAGATGAATCAAGCGAGTCCAAGAACCTTTCATGCCACGAGGTTTTCATTAGAATCTACCGGAGTGTGCAATAGTGCGACGGATGCGGTAATCGCGATTTTGCACAAAAATTTTTAAACATTCAGATTCATTTCCGCGTCGTTTCTTCGCTTTTTATTATGTGTTGACCCGCTCAGGTTGAGTGTCGAAGTTCGAGAAAGAGGAGAACCCAGGGGAATGAGGGTGTTACAATAACGATTATTCGAAGTCAGGGGAGGGCGCAAGTGCTCACAAAAAGATTTAGGCGTGAGGTTCGCGGCAATTTGCAAATCGACCACGCGGCCTCGCAAACTCATATTGACGCGCGTTACCTGAAAAAAGCGGTCGCAGCCGAATTTGGGTGCTAACGTATCGGGGGATCCACGCGCTCGCGGGCCGTGCGCGCATTTACACAAAGACAGATTAGAGCGGCCGGTGAATCCGTGTTACAGTAACCCGTTGTCATTGGGGCGCGCTGTTGGATTGGAGCATGGCGCACCGGCCCTTCAGACTTTTAACCATGGAGGGTGTAGGTACATAGTTGATTCCTTGAATTGACTTCACCGGTAGGAATTTCGGCACCCTAGTTCCTGAATGTACCATTTATTCGACTTATTATACTTTTCACATTGATAACCCCTACAAGCTCTTTTGTGTTTTCTCTAATTGACTCACTGGGTTGGAATTTCAGCACCCTAACTTCTAAAAGTCCGTTTATTATATTATGAAGTATTCTTAACTAACCAGGAAAGGTCAACAGGTCAGCCTGGCCATTTCCAATGAAATGCACACCGTTGTACTCGTCTTGAGACGGATTCAGAACAGTCTTCAAAATTTGCAGAACGATCCTCTGAGTGGAGTTATGGAGGGATTTCTCCCTCGTGGTTGTTTTACATGCTATCGCGACGAAACGTGGAAGCGTCTTCACATTAATGAATGGAGTCTTCCCGACACGTGGCAGCAGAGCGCAACGGATAGCGAGTGGGTTTCGTAGCCGGGACGTCGTCGGATCGGTTTCCGCCATCTGTTGCCTTTTTGCATTTGTCCAAGAACACGGTTGACAAAGCTTCTAACATCTCTGCTCTCCTGCCCTATCCTGTAAAAGGACCTGCAATCAGTTTTTTTGAAAGTGTAGACCCATTGTGGCCTGAAAGAGTGTTTGTGCTTGTCCCCCTCGTAACACATGTCACAAGGGTTTTTGCAATGAAATACCATGATATTCATGTTCAGCGGGTCAAATTACCCCTGGGGACAAGTTTCTAGCCGAATCTGATATTTCGACCTAACTTGGAAAATGTGGGCTATGCTATGGGTGATTGGCCGTAGGCTGGGTCCACCCACCATCAATTACTGGTCTCGAGATGGAATTTCCTACCGTTAATCAGGAAAATGATGCAAACTGCACGAATAAGTGGGCCAGGTGCTGAAAGACATGACTGAAGAGCTATTTCAGCTAAACAGTCATCATCAGTATGCTAGTCGTAGTATCGCTGGTGGCAATCAGTCAGCCATGACTATCCATACCCCATTTTTTCAAAGCTGAGTCAGAACCTCAGATTTCGCCGGCTGCCGTCCCCATGGGTTATTTAACCCCCTGAACACGAATATGACACCTATATTGTGCGGAAAGCTCTGTGAGTCCCGCTACAGGTGCCATCATTTCGGCGCCAGCGCGCCCGGAAGAAGAAAAACAGTAAAAAAAACCTCCATAACTTCGCTCAGAGGATCGTTCTGCAAATTTTGAGACTGTTTTGAGTTCACCGTCTCAAGACGAGTACAAAGATGTGCACCTCATTGCAAATGGCCAGGCTGACCTGTTGACCTTTCCTGGTAAGACTGTGAGTATTACACTCTAAGTATTTCAGAAGTAGTTTCCTTATGACTTCTTATTAATGAAAAATTTATGAAATAGTGAAATGAATAGTATTTATACAATGAGCGAGGCATTTTCAATACACTGCTGAAACGAGCGCAATTCTCAAACTATTCAAACACATTACTACAATAGTGATTAGCACTTGTAGTGTTAATGCACATAATCACAGAAGCGCCAAACTCGAATAAATGGTACGTTCAGGAACTAGGGTGCCGAAATCCCTACCGATGAAGTCAATTCAAGGAATCAACTATGTTCTTACACCTTCCATGGTTAAAAGTTTGAAGGGCCGGTGCGCCATGCTCCAATCCAACAGCGCGCCCCAATGACAACGGGTTACTGTAACACGGATTCACCGGCCGCTCTAATCTGTCTTGTGCACTTTTTGTATGACCGTTTGTGTTTTGACTTTTTCACCGCACGCACATCGAAAGAACGGTCGTTAACACGCGTCGTGATCTCTTCTTGGAAGATCCACTCATATGAAACTCCTGAACACTTTTTCATCAGAGGAGACCTTTCCACTGCGGCGAGGACATTCATAGCCTCTCCATTGTCACGACAGGTGAGGTGACCTGCTCCAAAGCGAATCCGAGAGCGTCTGAGGTTACGGTAGCCGCTTCGCGCGACACGTGACGCATCTCTTTTATTTGATCAATAGTTCCTCGACAACGGTTGTACTCGTGGCAGCTCGCATTGAAGCTGGTTTGTTCCCATTCACTTTCTCATTGGACTTCCGGCAAGCCGCCAAAATCCTTCAAAACCCCCACTGAGCCACTACCACCTGTCAGGGCTGTGTTGTAAAGCTATGAACTGGGAATTTTCGTACCCATAGGGAATTTATGGTACTCGCTGTTTTTTTTTCTCGAACGAGTCAGGAATCCAATAATATTGAATCCTCGAGTTTGGGGGATCTCTGCCTGGGGATAAAGTGCTGTGGAAACATGTTCTGTTCGACACTCGAGATAGTTGCGTCACTTATCTTACGCCCCCAATTCGCTAATTGTTCTTATCACTTCTTCACTCTTCGGGCTGTCTGAATATCCGTTCAGCACATTGCTCGCATCTGATCCCGCGACGTTCGTACGACGCGTGTCGCGTGCGATGCTTCTGGCATTTTGCCAACTTTGGTAGTCCTCACTTCTCAATGGCGTAGTGCAAACCTCGCGCCGTGGGACATGAATTGAAGACCAGTGAGCCTTTTTCCTGGTTTTAGTGAGAAGGACGTGGGTCGAAGAGCATAGTCCTACACTCCGACTCACCTCGTGATACTTCAGAAGTGTTCTCGTGTCACTGCCTGACGCTATCGCTTTACATGATATTCATATGTTACCTATTACTGGTTGCTATCTAGGAATGCTTCCGCATCCTTTTCATTCAGAAATCGGTTTTTTTCGAGTGTGGGACTGTGAAGCAGGCTATCTGCTTCACTTCCTTCTCATTGAAATTGCTCTGCGTAGTGTATGGAACTCAAAAATGGCTTATTGCTCCTTAATTTAAATGCCGCGGCGCTAGTTTTAGGCTCTAATCGCTATCAGAAAGGGCGACTCACCGGAGTTGGTGAGCGCCAGAAGCGCCGCGCGGACGTAACACATGCGACCCTGTTCTTATCGTTTGTTCGCTCCTCGAGCTATCTGAATATCATTCAGGCAGCAATCCGTTCCGCTTCGCCACCCTTGCAAACATTTGAGAGTTTTTCTTGAAGTGGTTGGAAGCATATAGCTCTATGCGGTTTTTCTTCTCACTCTTCGTGCTTTGTGACGTTTCCAGAGTACGCTCCAACTTGAATTTGGCTTTCTTTTTAGCCTTTATGTGTCGTTAAATCCCACTGGTTCCCCTCATAGCGGAGCTGCTCTTTCACAATATTCGTATCACTTACTAGCATTCAGTACTTTGCCGCTTAATTGATGAAATCCAACGGAATTGCACCTAATCATCAGGGATTTGGTCCAGTTCCTGTTGATGTCATGTTGATTGAAAGTTGGGGAAGAAGGGGGGGGCTGTGGGTGGGGTGGGAAACGTGACTATTCCGATGCGGTGTTTTCCATACAGTGACTGTGGCTGGGTGCGATTTGAGGGCACACCCATTGGACCAGTCTAGTTACAGACTTGGATACCATAATCTACAGTATGATCGCGTTCAAAAGTGCTAACAAAGTACTGTTGAAGATTTGTAAGATCTGCGGAAAACAGATGTGAACGTCTCGATTGGGAGAATCGCGAAATGGGGGAATCGGCGAAAAAACTAGGGAGAAATTGATTACTTGGCCCCGTCGTATGTCGTTTGGGGAATTCCAAAAAGGCTCATGTGCGTATCGACCGCGATGCGCAGTTCTCTAGTCAGTGACAAAGCATGCACCGAACGTGGCCTAATGCTTACTATCATCCCCACATCCTCTCGAACAATCTGGAAAAACGGTTTTTTCGTACGATCGGTTTGCGGATGAAATTTTCACAGCTTTATGAATTAAAGTTTTTGTGATATTATGCATCCTGTTGAGGCTTTTGGCGCTAGTAACTTTGGAGGAAGTAGGAGGGCATTAAGAGGCTTCCTAGAGCTGGTCCCAAAAGTAGCTTTATTGCAACAGGCGTAAATACTTGCTTTTGGGAAGAGGTTCCTTAACAGGCGAATCAGTTTTGAGTATAGTGATCCCAATTTTATAAGGATAATTGGCTCTTGCACAAGTAGACTAAATGCCATGAAGTTGTTAGCGCTGTTTATCCCCTACAAATTAGCTTTGTGTGCCGTAAATAAGTTTACAAATTTTGCGTTTATCCGCTACTTAAGCGCTTCGAATCTATGCACCAATCAATTAGAAATAAAACAAACAAGATTCACCAGGAACTTGATGAGAATGCCGACAGAAGCTGAAAACAAATGGACTCCGTGTAACAGGTGAAGTGAATTGGAGGGGTGAAATGCCTTGTTGCGTGAAAACTGTTCCAAGATTCAATTTCTGCGGTTTTCTAATGAGCTATTAGAGTAGATTCCTCTTTGGGTTCTGCTCCAACTTATTTAATAGTGTCACTTTTACTTTTTCACAGTCGAAAGGGTTCACCTAGGCCGGAATTAATTCCCTTTTAGATTAGGCAAGAATCTTCCAGCCTACAGTTGTTTCTTCGCGCTTTTCAGCGTTAACTGTTTTACCTTTTGCATATAGCATCTTAGGGAGGTGTTATATTCATGCCCTAAACACGAAATTACTTCCATTTTGCCGAGGAGGGAGCAGAAGAGCAGATGAGTCATCGCGAACCGCATAGTCCACCCCTCCCAAATACGTTAGCACCAATTTGCAGTTTGCATGCATCGTCTCAATTTGATTGCAGACTTCCGCTGCTCTGAAATTTAGATTATAGAGGCCCCTGCCATGCTAGGAAACGTTCAACGTGGTAGGTTTTTATAGGTCGTGTTGGTGGCATCGCGATGGGAAGCACTTACTAGCCCATTGTCGTCCTCTGTTTGCTTTCAATCTTGTTGCGGTGCGCCGCTGCGGATGGTGGGACGCGCCAGTAGGGCGGGGTTTGGCGCGCAGCCAGTTCATTCTCCGCCAGTTGTTGAAACGGATAAACGATAACAATTGGTGAAAATCAACTGATACATAGCTATGATACTGTATGTCCGCTTGCTCGCTTCAACAGCTGGTGCGAAACGGGGATTGCGCTGCGCCAAAACCCATCCCTCCTGACATGTCCCATCATCCACAACAAGTAGACTGTAGTTCTTCCTCAGTTTCATTTAGTTTTGGTCCAGCAGGTACACACGGTGGTCAAACATTTACGAGTCCTCTGATAATGTTTAAGCTAGATCCATCTGCAAGAATCTTGATTTGATTTTCCTTGTCGTTTCTTGAAGCCTTTCGTGATCTTTGTGCGACGCAGTAGGTGAAGAAGCATTATCACAACTTTTTCTCTGTTATTTCCAGGGTATGTCCTCGATTCACTATAAGTTTCGAGCGACACTTAGAATATAAACTCCCAGTTTGGACGTGCACATAACGGGAGCAGATCTGAAGAAGGAAATCTGTTTAAAAGAAGGAATCAAAGCAGAAGCATTCGATCTGTTGTTGCAGGTAAAATTATCCCATTTGCAGCCTTATTACATTGTATGGAATTTAGTATCGGCTTGACTCAATACATATTATCTTTTGATGAAAGAGACGCTTTGAGTTGACCTGCCATAACATTTTAGAATGCCACAGGCTAAAAACGAAGTTACACGGCAGAAGAACTCATTCCTCGAAACTCATCGATCATTGTGCAACGAGTCCCGAGAGAGGATGCAGAGAAGCTCCCTAAAATCCAGTAAGTTCGCTATGCATATTTTATTGATTGAATGCGCCACGCGTTCGAAAGTGTGGTGTCGTGCGGCTCATACCTAATGACAAGTTGGTAAACTACACAAAATTAAAGAGGGAAATGCTCAAAACCCCACCTGGAATGTAGCGTAGTGAAACCTATGCGCCTGTTCGTGCAGCACAGAAGCGAAGAAGGGACGTGGTCGGACGGGTTCTCACTTGCTGGAGCAAGCTGTTTCTTTTTATCACATTACTTTCACCATTTGGAATGGAGAGAGCTATTCGCGAACCATTGGCACCATGAAGTGGCAGGTGAAAATGAGAGTTGGTCGTCGCCATGGCCAGTGGGCGGGGCCGTAGTTCCGTCGCGAGCGGGTGATGTTTTCCTCAGTGTTTTCGAGCTGCGAAAGTAGTCCTCCACCCTGCTTGTGGCCAGAACTGCCGTCTCTAAAGAAGGCGCTCAAACATCAATTAACGCGTAGCGTGCCTTTAAGTTCAGGTTCCAGTTCTAATGAGATGCCTTCAGCAAGCTTATTTGTCAAAGTGATTCTGAGCATATTTCTACATGATGTGTCGAAACCCAACGGAATCTTACAACTTATGATCACTCTAGGAGCGCTTTCACCCTTCGTGACACTAAAGAGTCGGAAAATGGGAGAACACACCACCGGAAAGTAGGGTATCAATCTGGCGAGTGGGTTGATAGGGAAATGCGCTCCAACGAATCCGATGGAGATGGACAGATTCTCATGTTCTCAGTCTCCTAAACCTGTACGCATACATTCCTTTGGCACGTACTCTCTTATTCTCTTGTACTGCAACGTCGTAAAGTAACACGGCTTTAGAGTTGAGTCAAGACTACATGAAGCTACTGTTTGCAGCTCTTTCCCAAAAAAGAAACCAAGAGGTTTTTCGAATGGTCACACTTCTTATGTTTTTAGGGGTGTAAATACTGGAGCCGTTGTGAGACCATCAACTGCAGAGACAGGTCTGGTAGCCCCTGCGCATATGAATCCGGTACGTTTGATTCTCTTTTTCTAATGCTTAAGTCTTGCTGAACAACTGATAGGTCATACATTTCAATTTCTCCATTTAAGGAAGAATTCGAGAAGCTGTCGGAAGAAGACCAAATTGCTCATATCAAGGATGTATCCACGGCAAAGTACCACTCTAGCAAGTATGTTGTAACTTCTGTGATCTAAATGTTAATTTATCGTAGTTTCGCCGTCGGTAACTCGTCGGAATCGAAACCTCACCAAAGAGGCACTCGGATGCTTTTCACCCCCAATAATCCGAAATCGTTCCAATTTTCTACCAGCTTTTTCTTCGTAGGCAGATTTGCCTAAATACTTGTACCCAGAACTAAATTGACCTCCTGAACACGAATATCATATTCGCTCTGCCCGAAACCGTTTAGGTGCAGTGCCACAGGCTGACACTAGAAAAAAAAACGCCAAATAACCACATTCGGTG